CGCGCCGAAGGAAAAGAACATATACTCCGAAAGTATGTACCAAGGGGAGGGCATCCTTCAGGCACCTAAAGCCTGGGCAGACCAACTCTTCCAGGTTGCCAGCTGGAAGTAAGAGAGATACTGATAAAAAATATAGATAAGAAGATAGTCCAATTGCGGGTTTTAGAATTGTTGTGAACCTAATAAGGGCAGAAGTAGATAATCGCAAGGGTTCAATAGTTAGCCCTGACCCCAAGTGCATGGATAAAGCTGTGGTGTAGGTTGCTAAAGTCTAGATAGATATATGTGTAGGACATGTAATATCTAGCAAAAATAAAAAATATCCCACCATCCAATGATTTGGAGACAGTGTCTGAAATTCAATTTTTAAATTAGTTGCGGGCTGCAACCAATTAAAAAAAACGACTTGCAGATTATAAAATTTATAAAAATTTAGTTGCACACATGAACATTTAATCAAAATTTATAGGTAAATTTTACAAATTTATATGCAGAATCTGCATATACACTTCAGATTTTGGTTGCAGAAATTTAAAACTTTGTTGCAGTTCGCAGACTTCACAACCCAATTTCAGACACTGTCCGGAGGCACCCAGAGTCAGAGTAAGCAAACTTTATAGAAAAATGTGATAACCAATGATGAGATAAATAGGGGGTTATTACGACTATACTGGGCTAAAAGATTTGGTATATCTCACTCAAAGGGTTTACAGAAATTCAGAAACTGTAACACTGCAGGGGGAGAGACCTGGGATATCTGCAGTTATTGATAACTAATTAGGAAAGTTATAGTTTGAGATACAGACTGGGTTACAGCAGCACCCAAAAAGGTGGCTTGAGATACGAACTCGGTGATGGCAGTATAACAGGTACTAATAGGTTAGAGATTACCAATGATGTACTGAATTTCTGTTATAAAATAATGTGTTGTATAACACATTTACTATAATGAGTAATAAAGAGGCAGTGTTGTTAAAAAAAAAAAAATTGTACAAGTGAATAGCTTTGCTATTTATTTAATTAACTAATAATTATATATAACAGATAGTATAATGAGGTTATCAATTATTAATGATTTAATATTTTATTTTAAAAAGACTTTAGATTTACTTATTTTAATAAAAGCAACATAACTTAGCACTTGGTATACAAGATAGTTTAAAGAATAAAGGCATAAGACTTTTTTAAAAATCATTTATTACTTTATAAAATTCTATTACAAAAAATTGTTTTAGACAATTGAAAATATATTAAGTTAGGCTGTATCAGAATTATTATAATTTTAACTTCTATTACAAGCTATAGAAATTTTACTTGTAATTTTAGTAACAATAGTTAAAGTTAAAGTTAAATTTATATTAGAATTATTATAATTTACTAAAAAGTTGCTGCAAGAAATTCTGTTACAAGACTTATTTACTATTCTGATAATCAAAAATATAATAAGTTAATTATGTATTAGAATATTGTAATTTCTATAAAAAACTGCTATATAAAATATCTTTTTTGTTATAAAATTTGCTATTTTAGTTAGTATGGTATATATTAGAATTATTATAACTTCTATTATAAACAAAAAATAAAACTTAATTTTATTTTAGTGGCAATAGTTTGTAGTTAAAGTTGAGTTGGTTTGTATCAAATTTATTGTAATTTCTATTAAGAAATTTTGTTACAAAATTAATTTAGCATTCTAGCAATCATAACACTAAATTGATTTGAATAAAAAAAAAATTAAGAATTTCTTAATAGTATAGTAAGTATACAGTATAAGCTAGGTGCTAGAAAAAGAAACAAAATTTACAAAAAAAAAAATTTGAAAATTAAATTTTTATATTATAAATCTTAAAAAAATATAAATTTAAAAAGCATATCACAAAATATTATCTTTACTGTATGTTGCTAAAAATAAACTACCTTTTTGGCAAAAAAGTTATATAAAAATCATAAAGTAGCTTATTTTTAGATATAATTAATTTTTGATTATTTTTAGTAATTTTTATTAAGTAAAAGTAGTTTGTATATATAAGTCAAAATAGTACTAAGTAAATCTTATATTTGGCACTTAATAAAAGTTGTTTAAAATATAAAATTAAATATATCCTGTAAGTTTTATACAAATTAAATACCTTTTTATTAGTCTGGTTTTGTATTTAAATTTTGAACATTAAATGCAAAATCAAACTAATAAAAAGTTATCCAATTTGTATAAAACTTTTAAAATATGTGCATTTTATAATTTGAACAACTTTTATTAAGTGCCAAAAATAGATTTATTTAGTACTATTTTTGATTTATATATATAAAACTACTTTGAATTTAATAAAAAATATAGAGATAGCTTATCTTTGGGGTAAAGACATTTTTAAGATTTTTCTGCAAGAGAGGGAGGGGGTAGTTATTTTTGGCAACATATAGTATGTAAAAAGATTTATTTTAAAAAAATTGTCAATTTTGTTAGTTTTTTACTACTTAGTTATATATTAAAAATTTAAAGTCTATGCAAAAATATAATCCTGCAAATTATTGAATATTTATTTATTTGCATTAAATTTACTCACCAATTAAGTATTTATTTATCTAAATTAATATATATAGCTATAGCAAAACTAGCTTTATTGGTTTTATTTTATTAGTTTTATATAATAAAATCAGTTTTATCATTTATTATATAATAATACCTAAAATATAATACCAATAAACATTATCTTGACATCTATAATATACATATAATAAAATTTATTTATATGTAATTTGATTTTTTAATCAAGAACAGCACCTATATGCATTATAATAGCTAAATGTTATAGATTAATGGTTAAAATCTTATCTAAATGTGGTTATAATTTTCAAGTTGAGTTCTGGTATATAGCAGCGGCATGGTGGAAATACATCATGTATTATATAAGACAAAAAAAGTAATTTAAAATTTTTTTTATTATTGCCAATTTAAAAAAAGTTGACATACGTGAACAAGAATATAGATGAATTCACAGTTGCAATAACAAATTATAGACACAAAAATTAGTGATTTGATGTGTATTTTGCCAAAAATTCAATAATTCTTAATTTTTTTAATCAGATGATAATAATCGTTGAAAGATTCACTAATCATTTGTAAATCAAGTGATCACGTGACTATTTGTTGTGTGAAACTTTAGTAATAAGGTAACAGCATGAGAGACCCAATGTGCAGGGAGAGTTGTCCATACACGTGATAATCAATGCATTTCTTATTGTTTATTAATTTGCGACAAGCTTTACGAATTTTATGAAATAATTACCGCTATATGGTAAAATTTCACAAGAAAATTTTTGTTAGAACGTAAAAGTCGGTTTGTTATGTAAAATTTTGAATTATGAACGATTTTAAAATAGTCAATTTTTTTACGTTATTCCTGATCGTGTTACATTATATTGATTATAATTAAGTCATTGGTCAATTATCACATGTGCGTATAAGTTCTCCTGCGTCTTGATACTGTTGTAACTGTATATCATTGTCAGCAAAACGAAAACAGAAAGAATAATTTACATTTCAAATATATGAGAAACAGTAAAAGGATTAAAAGGATTTAATACTACTAAGATACCGTTTGTTTTAAAGTAATCTATTTTTTTATTCTTTCATCAAATATAACCTTTTGGTAATAAACTAGTCCCCACAAAACACAATTACATAACTTCAATCACACTATGATCACATCTCCAACAATTTTCTTGTCAATGAATTGTTGATAATATTATTTACTTTGATGTTTGGTGTATGACAATTTCTTTTATTACTTTATAAAGATTTTATTAACGAGAGATACATTAATTACATTATAGTAAGACTTGAATTTTCTATTCAGATCCAAGCTCTAAATGAAACTTTTTTTTATTTTACTTACTTTTTTTCGTCAGATATAAACTTTATATTTATAAAATTATACCATTTACAGAATTTATAAAGAATTGTTTAAATTAATTTATCCTACAAAATTCTAATAACTTAAGCATAATGTTCTAATTTGATACTTGAAATTCAAGGTGCTCTTTCGCCTCAATATTACATTTATATTGTACCATCTTATCCTCTTGCACTGTCAAAGTATCTAAACAAGAATCACCTTCATAATGACTTTTAATTAAGCCTTGGTAAAACAGTCTTTGAGGTACACAAATGAATTCTGCAAGTATGCCAGCAGATTGATTTCGAAAATAATGGATACTGACTAGAGTTGTTGGTGAAACTGGTGAAACTTGGTGAAACTGGTGACTATCTAAAATCTGATTGGCTGGTGAATGCAAT